AAGGTAGGTAATGAAAACACTAACTTGAAAACATATCTGCACCTCCATGTTCATAGCATCACTGTTTATAATTGCCACTACATGGAAACAACCTAAGTGTCCACTGACAGATGCATGCTTAAAGAAGCTGTGGTGTATATACATATATTCATTTTATATATATATATATATAAAACAGAATATTATTTAGCCATTAAAAATGAGGAAATCCTAACACTTGTGGCAACATGGATGGACCTTGAAGGCATTATGCCAAGTGAAATAAGTCAGACAGAGAGAGACAAAAATTATATGATCTCACATATGTGGAATCTAAAAACAAAACAAAACAAAAAACCAAAAAACCCAAACTAAAACCCAAACATGGAAAGAGGATCAGATCAGACTTAAAGTTACCAGAGGCAGAGGAGAGGAGATGGGAGAATTGGAGGAAGGTGGTCAAAAGGTACAAACTTCCAGTTATAAGATAAATAAGTACTAGGGATGTAATGTACAATATGATAACTATAGCTAATATTGCTGTATGATATATAAAAAAGTTACTAAGTAAATCCTAAGAATTCCCATAACAAGGAGAAAATGTTTCCTTTAATCTTCTTTCTTATCTTTTTATTGTATGTATGAGAAGGTGGATATTAGCTGAACCTATTATGGTAATCATTTTACAATATATGTAAATCAAACCATCATGCTGTATGCCTTTAACTTATACAGTGATGTTTATCAATTATTTCTCAATAGAACTGGAAAAAAGTTTTAAAAAAGACATTATGTAATGATGAAGGGGTCAATTCTCCAAGAAAACATAATAATCCTTAACATATATGTGTAAATAGCAGGGCATCAAAATACATATGGCAAAAACTGAAAGAACTACAAGGAGAAATAGATGAATTCATTATTATAGTTGGAGATTTCAAGACTTCTCTATTAGAAATGAACAGAAAGTCAATAAGGATGTACTTGAACTCAACAAAACCATCAATTAACTGTATACAATAGATGTGTATAGACTATATCTAACAATAGCAGAATACACATTTTTCTCCAGCTCACATAAAACAAATCACCAAAATTGACCACATTCTGGGTCATAAAGCCACACTTAAACACATATAAAAGAATAGAAATCATAAAATGTCTATTCACATACCATAATGGAACTAAACTAGAAATGAGTACCAGTAAAATAGCTGGGAAAATCTCAAATATGTGGAGATTAAAAAACACACTTCTAAATAAGATATGGACCAATAAAAAAATCTCAAGAGAAATTAAATATTTTGGACAAAATGAAAATGAAAAGACAGCTTATCAAAATGTGGGATGTGGGATGCCATGAAAGCAGTGGTTAAAGTGAAGTTTATAGCCGTGAATGCTTATATTAGAAAAAAAGAAAAATCTAAACTCAATTATCTAAGCTTCCATCTTAGGAAACTAGAAACAAGAGCAAATTAAATACAAAGTAAGCAGAAGAAGAGAAACAATAAAAATTAGAGCAGAAATCAGTGAAATTGAAAACAGAAAATCAACAGAAAAAAGTCAATGAAATCTAAACCTCATTCTTTGAAAAGATCAATAAAATCAATAAATCAGGCTATGAAAAAAAGAGGACAAATTACTAATATCAGAAATGAAAGAGGGGATATAACCATGGGATAATAAAAGTATGCTATGAACAACTCTATACCTACAAAGGTGATACTAAGTGAAGTGGACCAATTCCTTGAAAGGCACAATATGCCAGACTCACACAAGAATAAATAGACAATTTGAATAGGCGCATATCTATGAAAGAAATTGAATCAACAGTGAATAACTTTCCAAAACAAATATCACTAGGCCTGGATGGCTTCACTGGTGAATTCTACCAAGCGTTTAAGGAAGAAATTATACTACTGCCCTGCAATCTCTTTCAGAAGATAGAAGCAGAGGGAATATTTCCTAACTAGTCCTGTGAAGCCAGCATTACCCTAATACCAAAACCAGACAAAGACATACCAAGAAAACACCAATATCTTTAATGAAAATAAATACAAAAATCCTCAACAAAATATTAGCAAATCAAATCCAACAATGCATCATAAAAATCATAAAATTGTACACCACGACCACTTGGGATTACCCAGGTATGCCAGGTTGGTTCAACATTAGAAAATCAATTAGTAATCTGTCACAACAGTCTAAAGAAGAAAAACTATATAATCCTTTCACTCCACTACTTGACATTTACCCAAAGAAGCTGATAACTTATAGCCACAGAAAACCCTGCACAGGGATGTTTATAGCAGCTCTATTCATAACTGGCAAAAGCCGGAAGCAACCAAGATGTCCTTCGGTAGGTGAGTGGATAAACTGTGGCATATCCAGGCAATGAAATATTATTGAGTACTAAAAAGAAATGAGCTATCAAGCTATGAAAATACATGGCAGACACTTAAATTCTTATTACTGAATGAGAGAAGCCAACCTGAAAAGGCTACATATAGACTGTATTCTTTCAACTCTATGACATCCTGGAAAAGGCAAAACTATGGAGACAGTAAAGAGATCAGTGTTTGCCAAGGGGCAGGGGGGACGGAGGGATTAACAGGCAGAGCAGACAAGTTTATGGCAGTGAAATTACTCTGTATGATCATATAATGGTAGATACATGTCATTATACATTTGTCCAAATTCATAGAACGTGCAACACCAAGAGTGAATCCTAACATAAACTATGGACTTTGGGTGAATGATGTGTCAGTGTAGGTTCATCAACTGTAACAAATGTACCACTCTGGTGGGGGATGTTGACGGCGGAGAGGCTATGCATGTACGGTGGGAGGAAGTATATGGAAAATCTCTGTACTTTCTGCTCAGTTTTGCTATAAACCTAATACTGCTCTAAAAAAACAAAGTCTACTAAAAAAAAAACCCAAGGCACAAATGTGCTTGTCTTGTTCCAGAAATAGCAAAGAAACCACTGTGGTTTCTTGCTATTGGAAGAGAGGCATGGAAAGAGAGGCAGAGGCCTGGCCACCTAAGGCCTCTCAGACTAAGGGGAGAAGTGAAAATACAGTTGTTTCGAGACATTTAGTGTTCCCTAATGGCTTGTTTTCACAAAAGCATAGTGAAATAGAAATAGTTGATGGTTATAATGAGGAGTCTGTAAACTGATTTATGAATAATACGCTCCATTTTCTAGAGAAATCTTGAAAAAATGTATCACTGTATTTACTTCCCTGAGTGAACAGTTACGTTTCTAATACTGGAACATATTTTCTAGATATCGAAGACTCTTAAGGAGTAGGGTCTTTCCTGCCACTAGGATGCCATAGCACCAGGCCCCATGTCTCCATCCTTCATTAAGCCTGGGCACTTGCTTGTGCACTGGTGCTGCCAATAACCTACGACACCCAACAGGTCCTCAGCCACTGCTCTACAGAGCATCCCAACCTGTCTGTAAATGTCTTCCCCTCAAAATCATGGAATTTTCTCAACTGAAATAGATTTTCTGTCTCCCTATTTCAAAGCCTGAAGCATTGTGAGATTCATGATAATTTAACTCGTGCTAGGTTAACTCTTTAAACTAAAAAGTAACTACCTGATGAATAGTATGAGTAAAACTAAATGTATTTATCTTAAATATTCTAGGTTAGCTTTTCAGGAGTTAATAAGTAAAATAAATTATATTCTAGATGTTTCATAAATGTTGACTTCATGTTTCTGACTACATAAATCGGTGACACTGAAATTCAATGACCTCTGTTGCATACTGTGAGAATGGTCTTAAACCAAAATTTTCAGCTAAAAATGGTGTAATTCAGAATTTGCTTACTGAATTGAATTAACGTTCTGCATTAAGGATAAACACTGTGGGAGTAATTCTGGTATACTGGGTTGGTGGTTTTGTGCAGGACGCTTAGAATACCACAGCTCTTAGAATAATTGTATACTCTTCTGGCTTGTTTCCCAGATTTGCTTGAAAAGGGTCAGAGGACAGGATGAAATTAATGACATATGAATGCTAACACCCAATTAGAGTTGTCTTCAAAGGAATAATTAGGCTAGACTTAGTAAGAGGGGATTCTGAGAAGAAAAAGCTTTAGGCATAATATACACCAAAGGAAAAAAAGAGGTGAAATAAGGCAACTCTAGGAGATTGGAGTTGATTAATATTTCAGGAAGTGATTTTTTTTATCATCTTATCTTTAAAATAATATAAATATGGTGAGACAGAGATGAATGGAGAGGGATGGTCACCAATCTCAGACTAGGAGCAAGGGTGTGAACACTGGGACCCTTCCTGGGGCATATACCCTGGGATTGTGATTTCAGGATCCCTCCTCCCTTCATGAAGGAGACGGGTTTTGCTTTCCAAAACAACAAAAACAGCACCAACAGCGGCAGTTAACACTTGAACTGTGCTCACCATGTGTATAGTGCCTGCCACCTATTAATCTGTTTCATTTTTCCATTTGTAAATAGGGTTTATATTATTATTACATCCCCACAACAACCCCTAGAGTGAAATAAGCGACTTGCTTAAGGTCATACAGGTAGGTATGATCAGAAGGCAGATTGAACCCGGAAGCCTAGCGCGGAAGGCTAAGCCCTCATTCACTGCACTTAATGTGTCTTAGGGAGGGGAAGGGGCACACACAAAATGCTAACTCCTTCTGCGCTTATTTTAGTGTCAATTCTCCAGTGCCTCCCTTCCCACACCCTTAGCCTCTTAATTTGCCCAACACAGCACCTTCCTTACTTTGCCCTGCCATTCTCTTCCCCTTCTGACCCAAAGGCTCCAGTGGGTAGAAGATGAAAAGGCAACTGCTCCGTCAGGTACAGGGCTTTCTTCTTAGCACAATCGCTAATACTCATTGAAAATCCTTTATTAGACGCATGGGTTTAGGAGTATTCACTGAACGCTCAGAGTGGGAACGTTTATCAGGAATGCAAATACTTCCTAGCATACGTTTTTTAACTTTAAAGCGTAAAAAATTCTCAAGACAACTCACTTCTGAATAGGAACCTTCACCAGCAGCTCTCACCTCGGCGCCTCATTGCACCGCACTGGCCACGAGGAGGCAGTGGCGGCCATGGAGTCGCACCCAGCGACTGCGTGGCGGCTCGGCCATCGCTTGCTCTCGCCTGGCGCGGCGTCTCGGCCGTGGATTAGCGCAGCTGGGGACGTGGG